CTGTAAACACGTAGCATCTCAATAAACGGATTTTCGTTTTTAAGGATAAGTCGTGGATCTTTCTCATTCTGACAAACGCTGATCAGGCTTTTTCAATTCTTTGTTTTATCTCAACTGAATAGTCCCATTGGTCGTTTATGGTGGTTCCTAAATAGTAGTAACGGGACACTTGGAGTATTTGTTGCTGATCTACCAGTAATTGACTAGGTGGAATATTCTTGTTACTGATGACCATGTACTTTTTTTTCTTGATGTTAAAATTAAGCCCGTATTCTTGATTGATTCTCCACAATTGCGTTACTAGTGTCTGTAAACCTTCTAAACTATCTGCAAAGAGGATAGTGTTGTCTGCATATCTGATGTTATTTAGGCGCTCACCATGTATGGGAATACCCTCTTCGATATGCTCTAAGGACTGGCTCATGAAGTGTTCTGAATAGACGTTAAATAATAGGGTAGAGAGTTTGCAGCCCTGTCGTACTCCTCTCTTTATTGCAACTTCCTCTGTTAGTTGGTCTTTTACCCGAATGGTTGCTGATTGACTGTAGTATATGTTCTTGATTACTCGAAGGTCTTTGTTACCCAGATCAGTTGCCTTTAGTATATCCATGATCTTATCGTGCTTGATTCTGTCGAAAGCTTTCTGGTAGTCGATAAAGCATACATAAATATCGCAGTTGACGTCTCTGCACCTTTGAATAATACCTGAACCGCGACCAAGGATTATCTTGTACCTACCGCATCTACTCGCATTTCTGATAAATTCTTCTGTGCATTATCTTTAAGATAATGCACAGAGGTCTTAAGAATGTGGCTTAATTAGACTGATAATACGATGCTCTTGGCATTTTTTGCATTAGGTTTTTTAGGTATATTAATAAATGTAGATTTTAACCAGCTCTCTGGGATTTTTCCCGAGTCATAGATTTTATTGAACGTTGTCGTAAGCTATTTTACTTCTTCGTCTCCCATGATTTTTAGAAATTCTGAATGAAAGTTGTCGGGCCCTGGTGCTTTACCTGCTTTGGTTGCTTTAATGGCAGTGTCATATTCCATAATTATCTGGTTGTTATCTCTGTCGTCATCGAATGTCTTCTCAACGTATCTCTTCCATATATTCTTTGTTTGTTCAATGTCTATTACCGGGTAGCCATGATCATCAGTCATATGTCCTGATCTTTTGGGTTTGTACATTCCGCCTGCCTCTTTTACCTTCTTGTGGAGATTAAACGAGTCGTGTCTACTTTCCTATGATTCTATTTCTCTGCATTGATCTTCCAACCATTTGTTTTTGGTTTCTCCAATAGTTTTTCTTATTTCTTTGTCAATTCGTTCATACTCCCACATGTCTCTGTTTTTAGCTCTTCTTCTATTCTCCATCATATTTAGGATTTTATCAGTAATCCACTCTTTCTTTTTAACCGTTGTTGGGCGAAGATATTTATCTAGGATTGTTTGGTTAATTTGTTGTAGTTTTGCCATTTCGTTATCTGGTTCATTAGCTTTGTCTGTATTTTTTAATTCTTTTTCTATATATGTTTGTATTTGATGCCTAGTGTCTTCATTTTTTAATGGTCCTAAATCATAGTTTCTTGCTTTTGCACTCTCTATCTTCTTCAGCTTTAGTCTGATGTTAACTACCAGTGGGTTATGGTCCGACCCGATATCAGCATCGGGTATGTTTTGGCTGATGTTATTGAGTTTCTAAATCTTTTATTCACCATAATGTAATCAATTTGGTTTCTGATGAAGTGATCTGGGGTGTCTTGAGGTGATCTCCACGTATATAATCTCCTAACTGGTAGTTTAAAGAAAGTTTTGGTGATTACTAGTTGTTCTTTCACAGCGAAGGTGATCAGGCGATCTCCGCGTTTGTTTCGTTCCCCCGTCCCCCCGTTCCGTCCCGTATTAATTCGTTGTCGTTATGTCGTATGTCGTTATGTCGTATGTCGTTAATGTAGGTCTTCGCTATTTCCGAAATGATAAATCTGATGGTCATGTACTGTGCACTGTCCAGTCGAGCGCGTTTCATTTACACCGATTATATCGATAGCAAGTCTATCCATTTCCTTAATATTGTGTGTCTTGCTTCCTCGTACATTGTTCTCACATTCCACGTAGCGATCGTAATTGTTGATCTGTTGAGTTTTAAGGAACAGGAATTTCTCTGGTTGACGAAATGGGTAGCCCTGTTATCCTTGTTATATCTCCCTCTGCCGGACCTTGGTATCCGAGAATCATGGTCAGTAACTGTGACGTATTAAACTGATACTTGCCATGCTAAGGGACTAGGGATGTTTAATGAGGTAGTTTCCCCTTGCTTTCCTCATCGCAGTGTAGGAGCCATTAAAACTGCTTCAGTCATGCCTCCTAGTTTCCAATGATGAGCCGGTCCAGGATCCATTCCTATACGCCACAACTAGGTACTGAAAACGCTGCTTCCGTTTCCAGGAAAGGGAAACTAGGCTATGCTTATTTAATGGCAGCAATACTCGCCATGTCACAATAATTTCCTTGAGTTATAAGGTATGCTTTTCTAGGGCATATCCACTACACCCTCCAGTAAGGTAGTAGGACCAGTCACTATCGGCCACCTGTGACCCCTCTGGTAGCCTGCAGCTTAGTCTCAGCCTTATCATTACACATATTGGCTTGTTATACACATACATAGATATACTTCATCTAATTTACATACCGATGCACGTCATCGGCGTCATAGCCCATGACGTTACATAATACCTACACGAAATATTTAGGCGGTAGGTGTGTTCTTTTTTAGAATCACCTTGCCGAGTACACTGGCATTACAGCCATTAGACATATTTTATTATATACGCATAGAAATAATATTTAAAGATTTCTATTAATGTTGACTTAAAGAAATACACAATAATATGTTTCCTTTTATATGTATAAATTCATTATAAAGCGTTTTTATGAAGAACATTTGTTCGGAACACACTGTAACTGTAATAGAACGAAGGTGACATTTTGGCATAAATTGGTAACAATTATTTAACAGTTGCGGTGTTGACACATTTGTACTTTATTATTTTGAATTTTAAAGTGAATACCTCTTGTTTTATATTTTTAACTATTTAATAAAATCTGTTCTTTTTAGAACAAAATTAGTATGTTTTATTTCAAAAATGTCACATAAGAATTTAAATAGTCGTTGTAAAGAGATGGCAATACTTTTGCAATAATTATGTGACGTATTTGATTTAAAATGGATTCAGGATTTTTTTATACTTTGGCAACTATGTCAACTTCGATCTCTGACGTGTAGATAATGACGTGCAACGTTTTGTAAATTAGATGAAGTATACACGAAAATATAACCTAAAGCGGCAGTAAACACACTGGCTCGAACTACTGAAAGTGTAGCTTCTACAACTGTAGGCACTATCATGATCGGTTAGGTAGTTTCTTCTTCGTAGGATGCCTGTCCGTTCCGAACGTTCTGGCTATGATGCCTTTATTGGTTGCTATACGGAATAGCTGTGTTGAGGTCTTTCTATACCCTGCTCTCAGGTTATCGAGCCAGTATATTCTTCTTCGTCCTGGGGTCTTTTTTACTTCAATTTTTTTACTTCAATGTTACCTTGCAAAATGCATTGGAGTAGCTCATATCTGCCTTCCTTGATTTCTCATTATATGTCCCAAGTACTGCAGCTTACGGCCCGTCACGATGTTGACCAAATCCGTGACTGTGTTCATCCTTCGTAGTACTTCTTCATTTTTGACTTTGTCTGGTCATGGTATCTTCAGGATCCTTTTGCATAATCATACCTCAAAAGCCCTTGAGAGCTACATTTAAGGCCCTTGGACACAGAGCTCATAGTCAAGAATGCACCTCTTGCCTTTCCGATGCGACATTTAATCTCTTGAGTATTGTCCCACGACTCATTGATTATAGTTCCCAAGTAGTTGTACTGCAAGGCACGTTCAATTCTTATTTGGTTCACATAAAGATTTGCTCTAGTTATGCTTTCCTTGCTGATGATCATTAGCTTGGTTTTGCTGGTATTTATATCCAGTCCATATGTTCTACTTGTTTCCGTTAGTTTGTTTATTAAGTTTTGCAGCCCTTCTATGGTATTGGCAAACACTATTGTATCATCTGCATACTGCAGGTTATTGAGCTTGACTGAATTTATTAAGGTGCCTTCATTAATATCTTTTAGAGCCTCTTCAAAAATGTGTTCCGAGTACATATTGAATATCAGTGGTAAAATTATGCACCGCTGTCTCACTCCCCTTAAGATTTTGACCTGATCTGTATATTCTCCATCTATTCACTGCTTGATTGATTCCAATACAGCTTAGCTATTATTTTTAGGTCTCTTCCACCAATCCCTGTCATCTTCAGCACTTCATGCCTGACTATCGAAAGCCTTCTTGTGGTCAATCAGTCTTGCAAAAACATTACAGCTGATATCTTTACATTTCTGAAATTATACCTGCACGCTAAATACAGCTTTCCTCGTACCAACGGCGTTCACATATCCAAACTGATAGGGCCCAATTTGTTCCTCACATTTCTGGTAAATTTTTTTGTAGATGGCTTTTAAAAACAGCTTCAGAAAATGACTCATTAGGCTTATGGGCCTATAGTCTTCACAAACTTTTGCCCCTGGTATTTTGAACAATGGTACGAACTCTGATTTGATCCACTCTGCTGGTATTTTTCCTGCCTTGTATATTTCATTAAATATTTCAGTTCAGTTAATAGCTTCAGCAGTTCTGCAGGAATTTCATCAAGCCCTGGGTCGTTCCATCCTTCATTTGTCTGACGGATTCCGGGATTAGGTATTCGATGTTTCTTTAAAAAATGAAAATATTATTAAACTAGGGCAACAAATAACATATTTTCGAACTTTATAGAAAAATAATTTAATATTTGTTTAATGAGTCGCAGAAATGTTAAGAAACATCGTTATCATGTACATTTTACAACTTTCTTTGTAAAGTTTACTAAAATAATATCTATTTTACAGGTCTCGCCGAAATGACTCGAGAATACAAACCACTCCCAGAACAAACCGAACCAAAAGAACTCACTACGAAGCGTTCACTCAGCCACAACCAGTCCCGACCTATTACACCAGATGAGCTAGAGGACTCACAAAACTCACCATCCTCCGTACAAAATCTTCGAATATGTAAATCTCCTTCAGAAAGAGATAGAGAGCGCGAGAGGGAGCGAGAACGGGACAATCGCGATCGAGATAGGGAGAAAGACAGAGAGGTAGAAAAAGAAGAAAAATTGTCTCCTTCAGGGGAGAGTAACTCCCTACCTGTTTCTAATGATTTCGGTGCTAGTGATATGAGCATACACAATAGTAATAATTTGGTAGCAACTTGTTCCTCGCTCGTTTTACCGGGTCCCTTGTGCAATAGATTGTCACCGTCTATTAATCATGAACCCATACCTGGTCCCTCGAATTTGCCTCCAGTCCAACAAGTGCCTCTGGTAAGTCACTATTTATTGACATTTTATAGAGTAGGATTTTATATGCTTTACCAAACACTCAGCTAAAACTATAAAATCATAGCATTAAAATGTAGAAGTAAAGATACACTTAGCTTTTCTTTTATTAGAATAATTTTAAATAAAAGTTTTTCTTTTGGAACGATTTATTTTTAAGGTTTTTAACTTACATTTAAGTCCTTGGAAAATTCAAACATAATATTTTTTACTTGTGTTTTTGAGACTCGAAAACGTAATTTTACGCTTAACAAAAACGATCAAGTTCACAGAAAAATTACAGGAGACCTATTTTGTTTAAAATGATTCAAAAAATAAAAAAAAATCCCAACGATCCCGAGCTTTTACCTTATTTATTTTGAACAATTTAAAAATTATTAATAGCTGCTTTTTTGGTCGTATTATTAAAACCACATCATCGGCAAGGACCTGATTCCTGATATGATACATCATCCTTTGTGTTCTTATACCATCTAACTTAAATATTGACTCTTGTTGGAAATTAAAAAGAACTTTTGATAATGAATCTCCTCGTTTCAATCTCTTCCTACTTGGACTTTTTTAAATTATTGTACCGTTGATGGTTACTTTGTATTCAGTTGTTTCTACGTTTTTAGTAGAAACGTTTTTAGTAGGTATCATTTTAATTAGTTCGATCAACTTCTCAAGCATCACAGTTAATCTGGTGTTTTAATAATGATATTTTCTTATAAATGAATCGTAAGCTTGCTTTAAGTTAACAAAGATAAAACCAACCTGCTCATAAGTAACGTTTCGAATTATTTTCAGTGCAAAAAATTAATCGATGGTATAAAAATAAGTTTACTTTTTCGAGGTAGATATATCTATTTTGATAACTCTGGCGAGAACTTTATATATTACATCAAGTAAAACAATGCCTCTGTACCCATGTCCCACATTCTACACTGCGCTCCAAAATTAACGCATAATTTTAAAATTCTGATTTTGAGTTGTAATGAAAAAAATTTTGTTTGTTCTTTTCTGCTTTATGGTTATTTTAGAACATCTTAAATAAAACTATTCTTTTTTTACAAAAAATGTATTGAAATTAACAATATAACATCCTAACATAAATCATAACATCTAAACGAACTGATCTAAACAAACTAACATCATAAATTAATGAAGAAAAAGTTTTTAAAGTTGAAGAAAATACTACTACCGTGTACTAGTATCGAGTATTGCCTCCTCTGGCATTTATTACTGCTTGACAACGATCTCTCATACTGAGAATAATCGTTCTGATTTCTTCTTGATCAATTTGATCCCAAATTTCAACCAACCGCAAAAACAGTTCATCTAATGTGTTTGGTGCATTAGGTAGTTGTCGTAGTCGTCTGCCTATGATGTCCCAAACATGTTCTATTGGGTTAAGGTCAGGACTTCTCGCAGGCCAATCCATGGCAGGAATTCCAACCTCCTGACGATAGTGCTGCACAATTCTTGCCGTGTGTGGCCTGGCATTATCTTGCATAAGCATGAAATTATCCCCAATAAATGGTACAAATGGCTCTTCTAAAATGTCTGTTATATACCTCTGCGATGTCAGCCGACCGTGATTTATTTTAACTAATTCCGTACGAGCCTCTAAATTAATCCCACCCCATACCATTACCGAGCCGCCGCCATACTGTACAGTCCCTACGGTGTTACACTGTGCGTAGCGTTCCCCAGGCCTTCTATACACTCGGTTTCTCCTGTCATCAGAAAAAAGACAGTACCTGGATTCATCGGTGAACAATTTTCTTCCCCAATCGTCATTATTCCAATCAACATGTTCACGAGCAAAATTCAATCTTTGCCTTCTATGGTCTCTGGGCCAATTCGTGCCCTTCCAGGGTGTAGGTCGTTTTCGGCAAGTCTTCTTCTAATTGTATTTTTGCTGATTCTAAAGTTATAACGATCCAAAAATTCATTTTGTAGAGAAGTACTGGAAACAAACCTTTGTCTCAGTGTACGAAGTGTCAAAAACCGGTCTTGATTAGGAGTTGTAACCCTTTTACGGCCTTGACCAGGTCTTCTCGAGTTACTTCCAGTAACAGACAAACGTGTTAACACTCTTGAAATTGTTGACTGGGTGACGTTAAAACGTTCAGCGAGTTCTACTTGAGTGTATCCTTCTTCGCGAAGAGTAACGATTCTAAAACAGTCACTTTCTGACAAATTTCGATTTTCTTGTTGCGGGTGGTTCATTTCAAAGAAAAAACACTTAATAAACTTGAAAAACCCCTTTAAACGTTCAGCACAACGAAATCCAACCCAACTAAATTCGAAATAAAATGAAGCACAATTAGCATGTTTTTAATTTTTTTGCAAAAAAATGATAAAAACATCAGCGTTTTTTACCGTTCTTTCGATAAATTTTACAATATACCGGGGTAACGATAATATATTAGCACAAAAATCGAAACATTAAAATTATTTAATTTACCAGGGTTTTTAAAATTATGCGTTAATTTTGGGGTGCAGTGTATTTTATCAGCTTCCTTTTTTCACCTACAATATCATCTGCAATATTAACATCTTCTGAAAGTGCTCTTTTCGCGATGGAGATTGGCTAATACAATCGCAAACTCTGTTACGATAGTCGTTTCCTCTGTTTCTTAGCGACGATAGTCGTTTCCTTCTTAAGGTTAATTCAAACACATCAGTCCCGTCACAGAACTATTCGTTCGTCTATTCGCACACACCCGAAATGCATTATTCTTCGGCGACCAATCTGTTGAAAAGATGGAAAGATTCTCGGGTGAAGAATTGGCAATAATTGCCATATGTTTGGACGAGGAAGAAGAAGCGGAAGCAAAGCAAGCAAAAAGACGAAAATGGATCCATGACGCATATAAAAAAGGATACCGAAGGAGAATACATGACACTGTATAAAGAACTGCTTCATGATGATGAAAATTTTATCACTATTTTAGGATGTCGGAAAATTGCTTTCCTGACAAATATTATTTTTTAAATTAATGTCCATGTATTTTGCATGCGACAAATTATATCAAACATTATATTTTCTCAAACATTTTATTAATTGTTCGTGAATAATTTTCACTTGTATGATGACTTTAACTTTGAGCGCGTTAGAGAATTCAAGTATCTTGCAATAACAATAACTCAAGACAATAAAGGATCACAAGAAATAAACAACAGGATTCAGGCCGGCAACAGATGAATTTTGGCCCTCCAAAACCTTATAAAATCGAAACAACTAACAAGACGTACGAAGATACAGGTCTCTAAGACAATCATACGACCTGTTGTCATGCATGGAAGCGAAACGTGGACGATAACAAAGGCAAACGAAGAGAGACTATGTCTTTGGGAAAGAAAAATCCTAAGGAAGATCTTTGGTTGTGTGCTGGATGAAGTATCAGGACAATATAGGATAAGAACTAACAAAGACTCGAAGAACTTTACCCAGACGCCAATATAAAAGAAATAAAGTCCGCAAGACTCCAATGGGCAGGACACCTCAGAAGACATTCTGACGAACTGAGCCGTAAGACTGGTATGGGAGGAAGTCCCAACTGGAAGGAGACCACGCGGACGCCCTCGTCTCCGGTGGCGAGATAATATAACAGGAGACCTAAGCACTATGGGCGTGGAGAATTGAATGGAGGTTGCTCAAGACAGAAAGCAGTGGAGGCATGTTGTTGTGTCGGCTAAAACTCACGAAGGGTTGTAACTTCACGGAGTAAGTAAGTACTTGTACCGCCCGTCATGTTCCCGGCAAAACCAAAAAATTCGTCGCTGAGATTATAAAATCGGCCGCGCGATAGACTTCGAAACCTGACTGCTGGGAAACTGTCCGTCAACTGATGAGTGTGAATGCCGGAGGCATATTTCTATAAAAGAATATTTTGTATGACAGATTGTTCGGTTCGGCGCCGGGACTGTGGCGGGGCGTGACTGATGTGTTTGAATCGACCTTTAGATCTTTCTTCCGCTCGATATTACCTTTGACTATTAGTTGAGCGTATTGATACTTATTATTTCTCAGTGTACTACGTATGATATTTTTCTATGTTTCACTATGTTGAAAAGTTATGATTTCTTGTCTATTCTATGCACCACTTCTTTGTTTAAATGCTATGTCCATCGACGAGGTATAATGTTTTAACTACCACTGTATTAAAAAGTTCTCGTTCCTTGACGATTCTATGCAGCACTTCGTTTGAATGCGGTGCCCATAAAATGTTGAGGATTCTCCGGTTGATCCGCATTTCAAAGCCTCCAATTCATTAAAGTTTGATGTTTTAAGGGTCTACGTTTCAACTACATAGAAAAGAGTCGGCCAGACATTTTGATAAACGTAGTCGTATTTCGAGTTTTATTTGATAATTACATACAAGTCTTTTAATTGTTGAAAGATTTTCTGGCCTGTTTTCTTCTCTATTTTCTTTCTAGATCATTAGCAGTATTGAGACTGCTATCGATCATCCAAGACCCCAGCTACTTAAACTTGTTGACCTGTTCTAAAATGTGCCCGTCTATTGTACAAAGTTGAGATACATTTTCTTTTTTCGGATTGACATCACTTTGGTTTTCTTAATGTTTATTTTCAAACCAACTTCATATTAACTCGGGATTCGCAATTATCCCTGTATCATCGGCGTATTTGATGCTGTTGATATTTACACCATTCACCTTGATTCCGCCCTTGAAATCTTCCAGTGCGTCGTTAAATCGAAACTGGGAATGAAGAATAAAAAGCAGGGGTAACAAAAAACCTCACTATCTAATTTCTCTCCTAATTTCTACTTCTATGGAACATTCGATCTAAATTCTGACGGTTTGGTTCCAGTACAAGTTTTTTAGTAGTTTAATGTTGTTTATATCTAAACTGACGCGACGTCTTGTAATTGTTCTATAGTAGTTCGTATTGCTCTATCAAATCCTTGTTGTCGAAATCGAAATATATATTTCTGTTAGTCGTAGCATTTTAGAGATACAAGTAGTAAACTGAGCAGGGCTTTTCTCGTTTCCATGCCAGATTTGAATCCAAACTAATCGTCCATAATAATTGTTTCACACTTTTTATAGATTCAGTAATGTACAACTTTTAATAGAACTCTTATGTCATACTCAGACGGATCTCATTGCAGTGGTGTGGGTTTTTCTTTTTCGGTAGTGGGATTGTAATCTAATACTACCGAATCCAGTCAGTCATGTCATAACCAGTCTTGGGGTATTTTTCTTGTATCATAAATGCGATTGAATAAAAGGACAAATATTTTCTTCGTTGATTAATTTTTTAAAGTTTAAACTTATATTCTATTATTACCCCTTCTTCTTCGTGCGACTAGGAGTACTCCTGTTTGTCTGCCTCTTATTTTTGGCGGCCTTCCAACGAGTGTTCTGCTATACGGTTTGTTGTTTTTACAGAGATGTTCGCTAATCTATCTAGTCCCATTCGGTTTACATGTTCGTTTCAGTTTTTTTTTTCTTGTTTTTGTTCTTCTGTTGGTTTGTCTGTCTCTTAATGATATGCCCGCTATTGATCTTAATACTTTCATTTCGATATTGTTGATTTGTTGTTTCGTCTTTCTTGTATCGGTCCTTGTCTCCGCTGCATATGTTAGGATTGGTCTTACTGTTGTCTTGTATACTTTCAGACAACTTACGTTGTCTATGGTTTTTCGGAGGTAACCACTTACTCTTGCCGATTTTGATGCTTGCCGTGTGGTTTTTGTTCTTATATCCCTGTCACTAGTAATCTCTACTCCTAGGTAATTGAATTTCATTACTTGTTCTACAATTTTGTCATCTATCTCTAATTTGCATCTACGCGGCTCTTTACTGATGACTATACATTATTAGCCCAACTTTTGTTATTCTTATATGTATTCTTATATATGATTTTTTACTGTTTCTTCGTTGATTGGAACTTTCACCGTTTCATGGAAGTCGTTAATTTAATGTCCTTATTCCAGTTGATACCAACTTTTTCCTTTTTATTCCTTCTGCATAGGAATTCAAAGTCCCCTTAACATCTTGCAAGTTTATATTGCTATTATAATATTTTTGTTTATACAGTGTTCTTCAATGTCTTGCAATTTTTTATTCATATACTCCAGTTTCTCACTTGTACAAATCTGTTTCGAATTTCTTCTCTTAGCTTTATATTTTGTTTTGTTATTATCACTTGGATTTTAAAACATTATTTTTCTCCAAACCATTATTTTTCTCTTTTCCTTATTATTAATCGTAAATTCTACTGTGATATTTCTCCTATGTTTACCTCAATTATTCTTCAATCCATTTGTGTATTATTTGGGTTCTGTGTATAAACTAGTTTTGTTAATATATCTGCCAATCTGCGTGGAACTCTTCGGTAATGCATATATTCTTTAGTTTACCAACAGTATACTTTATTTTAAATTGGTTATTAACAATATTTGCTCAGAACTAGCGTACAACCTCGATAGCTTCTGACATGTGTTATTTTCCTTAAGTGCTTGCTTTCTACCAAGACGGTTGGGTTTCGTGTTCGACAATTGCTCTATTTCTCTAGGAATTCTCTATTATTTTGTGATCAAAGCACATACTATTATTCTTCTTTTTATAATGCCGTGCACCTTACTTAGTACGTCGGCAAATTGTCTTAAGGCCTGACGTCCAAAATTCGCGACATGACAGAGCTCGCCAGTGTTATTTATGCCTGTCCAGTTCTTTATATTCCTTACCCACGACATTTATTTGCGACCTATTACTCTGTTTCCTTCAATCTTTCTTTGTATAATTAGTTGAGAGATTGCATATCTTTTCCCTCTCACGATATGACCTAGTTATTAAATTTTTTGTTTATCAAGTTGAGCAGTTCTCTTTTAGTATTTGGTCTTTAAAAGACTTCCTCGTTTCCCACTCCATCCATCCGTGGCATGCTCACCATTTTTCGTATTATCCAGATTTCAGAAGCATCCAACTTATTAATGAATGATATTTTTAACCTAAATTTCTTCATACTGTATAACATAACTACACATATTAAAAGATAAAAATATAGATAAATAAAAATATAGATATATAATAAAAGATATTAAAAGAAAGATACGGATTTAAAACGGTTTAAATCTAACAAAAGCTTGTCTTGCTTGTTAGGTAGGTCATTTTATTTCTTCTTAATGGTCCATGATGGTCATTCATCATCATTCACTATCATTTACCAAGTATTTGAATTTCCTCACTTGCTCGACTGGAGCATTATCTATTTGCAGTTGTGCTCTTAAAAGTGCGTATTGTCTTACTGACATGCATTTAGTTTTTCCTGCATTTATATTCAATCCGTTTATTTTTCCTAAATTATTTATTTTATGTAGCTTTAACTGCATATTATGTTTCTTGATTCCTTTTTGGTTCCAATAGAGATTTAGGATAATCTTTCCCTAGCATTGTGTAGCATGTTTATGATTGAGTCGAGTTGTACGGTGTCAACCGGTTTTTTATAATCGAGGAATGTGATGAATATATCCTTTCATTGATCCATGCAGTTTTGTACAAGCGTATTCAAGTAGAAAGCTGCTTCACGCATGTGACCATTCTGCCCTTGAAACCGAATTGTTTCTCGCCGCTTAGCTCTTCCAGCTTTCTGAACATTCTTGTGCAAAAAAATACTTTAAGCAGATGGCTCATTAAGCTTATTAGTCGGTGGTCTTTGCATTGAAAAATACGCATGATTATGATGTCATTATTTTTTGCAAAACCTATCAATATCTTCGTATTTTCATTGGTTCAACATCAACTATGGTTCCCTTTAACCTTGCATATCCATGTATCATTATTACTTTCTCATTTTTTCTTGCATAGCCAACACATCCAACTTGCATTACTTCATCAGTTTCACTATTTGTTTCAAGGCACAAATTTCAAATTATCGTTCGCATTCTCTTCTCATAACGCATGATTTTATTGTCTTTGTTTGATCTTCGGTTTTTTATTTAGGTGCTTGCCCCTACTCAAAATTCCATCATTATAATGTTCTTTCTTCAAGCGGAAGTAAATATCAAGGAAACATTGATTGCCATTACATCTAATACATCATTCTCTACCTATCCTAGTAACATATCTCTTCTACCCAGACCCTAAAAAAATTAAACTCTGTCAGATTTCTTTAACCCATTATGACTTACGAATTCTCTTATGTAATTTAATGGTTTTCTTTCAGAGTCTAAAAAAAGAAGTTGATTGGGGAGGAGGAGAAGATAAAAAGCCTCCCATTGAAAGTCCGTCAGAATTTTCACGGATCCAAGATTCGGTAAGTCTATATTTTATCTTTATGCTATCAGTAAATTTATTTAAATAAACTAAAATATCTTTTTACAATCTTCTCTGGAGTATTTTATTTACAACCGATCGTTTCGTGGAATCTATTTTAAATTTAGTACCTATACCCACTGGTTGCACACAATCCCATCGAAATGATAAATTAATGTGAAAACATTGCAATATCAATATACCAAGTGTACTTTAATCTTCATACATCTGAAGTATCGAGAGTGAATTTGAAACACATAATTATCTTAGCCCCTTTCATGTCCAGTTCATTAGTTTAATCCAAGTAATATACAATATTTAGTATTATTTTATAATATGCGGTATAAACAAAAAAAGATGTAACGTTGTAAACGGTACACAAATACAACTTTTATTGCAACCAATATTTTTCCAAATTTCTTTTGGTTTCTATATTGTTTATCTTTACTTTTAAATTGTTTTTCTGTTTGCATGTTTGTTGACCAAAGTGGGTACCAATTATAATTTATATGTTTTACCAAAAGTATGTATTTACGTTAACAAGAATAAATTTTAAACAACGTATAATTGAACATCAGGAAAGAGTGCTTAACCTAATTTTAATACCAAACATTTTATTATAGGAAATCTTCAATTCAAACATAGTTATAAACTTTTGCATTAAGAAAAAAACTGTAAAAATAAAAGCTATAGCTCGATAAGATGGCAAAATATGCACTTTTATTTGGAATTGGGCACTTGAAACTACATATTTAGAAACTCATTTAGCCACATTTTTAGTTCTCAATGTGGCCCCTGGGGTGGCCTATCGCAAAAAGTTGTTTAAAAAAGATCCCAAGTAATTCTTTGCTTTAAAAAACCTGGAAAAATTCACGAGCATCAATTTTAATGTCCAAAACCATCAAATTTTTTGGTTCAAAATTGAGCTCAGGAAAAATATTTGAATTTTTCAAAAAAAATTTATGTAGGTAATGTTTTGCCTTTAACTTCTAAATAATTATTTTTCGTGGATTCTTTCCGTTATTTTGACTGGATTAGATTTTTCATTTTTGCTCCGGAAACTGCTCAAAATTCGAATTTTTTGGTGTTTTTTCGCATGGTTTTAGCACATAAACCCAACTGTATGTCAATAAATAACGATTTTATATTACTTATATATTTTTTTATGTCTAATAGCGTGATTCAGTTTGCCAATTTCAGGTCAAAATATACTCAAAATACGTGAATCCTAATTTTTTAAATATTTTTTTCCATATTTTAAGCATATAACCTCATTTAAATGTGACAAATATTTTTTTTCTTTCTCTCCCTCCTTTATTCGAGTGATGATTATCATTTACATATTGTCATGCCTAAAAAGACCCAAAAAAAGATTTTTTTCAGAGTTTTTTAATCGAAATTAAGCTCAGTAAAAATATTTGAATTTTTCATTTGAATATCAACAAAAAAGACTTTGTCGTATTTTGAGTATTTTCTGATCTTAAAATGGCAAACCTAATCCCGCTATTACAATTAAGCAAAATATGACAAACATCGTTATTTATTTACATGCAGTTGAGTTTATGTGCTAAAAACATGGGAACAAATAGAAATGGTTTTTTTTTTTCGAATTTTAAGGATGTTACGGAGAGAAAATGGCAAATCTAGCGTCTCTATTTAAATGAACGGAAAAAAATACATGAAAAATAATTATTTAGAAATTTACCAAAAATTACTTCATTATCTAAAAAATCTTTGAAAAATTCAAATATTTTTATTGAGCTCAATTTGATCCAAAAAATCTGAAAAAAATCAAAGTGTTTTTGAAAATATTTAAATGATAATCAGCACTCGAATAAAGGAAAGAGAGTAACAAAAATGGGTATTTGTCACATTTAAATGAGCTTGACTGCTTAAAAAATGGGAAAAAATATCAAGAAATGGGTTTTTTCGAATTTTGAGGATTTTCCGGAGCGAAAATGAAGCACCTAGCCTCGCCATTCAAAAGAACGAAAAAAAAATAACACGAAAAATAATGATTTAGAAGTTTTCCAAACATTACATACATAACCTAAAAATTTTTGAAACAATTAAAATCTTTTTCCTGAGATCAATTTTATTCAAAAAAATTTTAAAAATCAGGTTTTTGGGCATTAAAATATATGTCCGTGAATTTTTTTTAGATTTTTTCAAACAGGAAATTTTTTTATCGAAAAAACACATTTGCGATAGGGAACCCCAAAGGCCATCTAGGGAGCTAAAAATTTTACTAAAGGGGTTCCTAAATAGGTATTTTCAAGTGTTTAATTTCAAACAAAAATCTAACCGATGCAGATTTTACCATCCTATCCCGCTATATCGTTTGGTTGAAACTTTCCAAATCATTAGATGCTGAATCTGAATGACCAGTTGGACTTGTATAATCAATTGTTATGAAATATCTATACCTAAGCATCAATTTTATTAAAATTATCCTTTTGAGTAAGCGAGACATGGTGTCAAATACATTAAAGATATAATACCTGATACGATAAGTTACAAAGTTAATAGGTGGGTGGCTTTTGTTTTTGTAAATATGTTTAAAAGTTTTCCACGAAAACCTATGTATTTATTTATAAAAATTTTTAAACTAATTAAAAAAAAATGTAATGCAGATTTTATGCTCAGAAAGCTCAAAGATGAATACGAAAAATGGGGGATTAGTATGAATATGTCAAAAACAGAATATCTGCGAATAGGCAGTGAAGACGAAGACCCGGATTTGAAAATTAGACAAATGAAAAGGTGCTACGAATACAAATATTTGCGAAGTAATATCTGCAGTAAAGGAAAAACGGAACGAGATATAGACTATAGAGTGCAACAAGGCAGGAAGAGTGTTCAAATTCTGAATTTCATACTTTGGTCCAACATAGCTACTATTAGAACTAAAATGACTATCTACAAAGTAATTGTAGAGCCCATTCTTACATAAGGAGCAGAATTTTGGCAAATAACAGTAAAAGGAAAGAAAAAAGTTGACATGGTTGAAATGGACTACCTGAGAACAGCTTGCCGTATATCAAGAGTAGAACGTATACCTAATTCTGAAATTAGAAAAAAAAACAAATAGAGTACATACAACTTCTTAAAGAACAAAAACTAGACAGTGTTTAGTGTTTAGAACTGTAAACAGAACAGAAACTTAATATGGTATGGACACGTACAGAGTATGGACGACAACAGATGGCCAAAAAGAGCTATGGAATACAATCCAAGTAATAGAAGAAAACGAGGAAGACCAGCCAAGTCTTGGATACAAGGTGTTATGGAAACCATAAAAGGCAGAGCCATTGATGAAGACACCTGGGGAGATAGAAAAAGATGGCAATTGAAATGCGGGAAGTGGCAGAAGCTGTAGAATCCCCGCTATAATAAAAAAAATTGTTTTTTCACTTTTTTTGATAATTGGTTATTGTAAGACAAAAGCTATTATTGCGAATTTTTCTTTTTTAATTTGTTTAAAAATTGATATAAATAAATAAGTTCCCGTGGTAAACTTTTTACAGTAATGTAGAATCATATTATCTCGATTCAAACAGAATTCAATTTGTGAATACGATATTATCAAGATGTTTCGAACGTTAAATAAAATTCACACGTTCGTTAAGTCTGTAGATTATACTTCCTAAACGCAACGGTATATCAATTTGTTTATGCATTTTTAAACTGAATTTTGCAAAATAAAATTACAATATAATTGCACATTTTGAAACTACATAAGTGACTTAAGCTTTCATATCATATTTTTTGTCTTTTTAAATTCGATGTCTAACCTATTGTAAAATCATCAAAAACGCTAAATTGGCTTTTTCTCAGCGTTTTTAAATGTTTGTTTGCATTTTAAACGTAAAGTAAGTATTTTACGAAAAAAATAACAGGAATAACTTTCGTCTTAAAATAATTCAAGTTATCCAACAAAGTGGTTCCGAACCATAAAACGCATTTTTTTATAATTTGTTTAAAAATTGTTAAGATTCGTGTTGAAAACTTTCGGTAAACTTTTAAACATAACCTATTTGCATCACAATCTATTGATTAAAGAAGTTTCAGTTTGTGGGTATTAAATCGACCTTTTTATTATATATTACTGGATATATTACTGGATCGAGTCGAAAGCTTCGAGCTTTGAAGATCATTTCTATTGGAAATTATATTGCAAACAATCTAGAACAACATAACCAAACATGTACTTAAATCAATAGAGCAATATGGCGTCCAAGTAAACGGTGTCTTTGTAGAAAGACCAAATGTTAACTTTATAGGAGTAAATTTGAATTAAATGTATGGTCCGAGATCTACGAATTATAACCATCACAAAGTATTTTGAATATGTATTAGTAAACTTAAATTACATTAAAATATACGCGGTTCTCCGGAAGATATTTTCGTTCCAGAATCAAAAAAAAAATATATGCAAATAGATATATAAATTTAACACCCTAATTATATTAAGTTAAAATAAAAAATCTTTAATCTAAAATTAAGTACATTAATAGATTATTTTTCAATAAGTACAAATCTTGAGATTATCGATATTTCTCAATACAATTTTGCTACATGAAATGTACGAGTAATTATGTAATTCTTTTTCAGTTAATTTAGCTTTAAATTATATAAGCGTTATTGTATAATGTATAAGCTGTAGTGCTTAAATCTAATGCCGTGTGCCGTCAAGAAGTTGACAATCATTTTGGCTATAAATATCTGAAGACGCTTCTAACTCCACACTTTTAAATACCTACAAAAATTGGAGCCTTACGAAGCAACATAAATTAGAAAACTAAATTATTCTTTGGTGGCACACTTTTTGCTTCCCACAGCCAAACAAAAAATGAACGTCAACTTCTTGTGGCGGCCCACACGAAATCTTCAGCAATCTCTAGAGGCTCCTCCAAGAAGTTGATTGTTCTTTTGTTTGGTTGCAGGAGCAAGAAACCGGCGAGGGATCTCCAAGAATGTACCCTTGCATGTACTGCGGTAACTCATTCCCGCACCAAAGCAAGCTCACAAGGCATATCCTAAGTCATA